TTTTTTTTTTTTTTTTTTTTTTTTTTTTTGTTTTCATCAAACATCCAAAGTAATGATGAATTATTTTTGGTGACATTTGTACGTGTAATGCTTCGGTTAAATTCTCTTGATACAACATTAATTTAGGCTTTAAGAATAGTGGAACTAAACGGGAAACCGGTAAACAGTGTTGAATTGTGAAAAAAACCAGAAACAAAAGAAGAAAAATTTTTTTAATAATAAAAAATATTCAATTTTTTTGTTATTTTTTTTTTTTATTAATTTGTTTTCTGATTAAACACACTGTATTAAACATCTCAACTACAGTACTTTCTCTATTAGTTAAGTTGGTTTCGCTGGTGTTTGCATATATATATATATATGTGTGTGTGTGTGTGCGAGCGTATTTGAGCATATATTTTTAGAAATTAAGTTAAGGCCTAACTGTTAATAGTAAAATTATTGCTGAATAAGTGATTGAATCTTGTATTTTTTAGTTGATCAGTTAGTTTTTAAAAAATGCGAAAAAACAAAAAGAAGGAAAACTAAAGCAACTAAACTTTGAAACATTTTGTTATCTGTTTTCTAAATTATTCAAACACCTTCAGTAAGTTCTTAAAAATTTTACTAACTACTTTTCTGATTCTAATTTCTCAATGTTGTGCATGTCGTTTAGTTTTGCAGCACAAAGAAAACTGGTAAAATATTAGAAAGAACATGCAAAATTAGAAGTGTCAGTTTCTGTCAACAGTTTAAAATCTTAAGTATCGCTCAGGTGGATGCACTTTTGACAGGATTCAGATTTGTCCAAAATTAATCACAAATGTAATTGTATTGTAATGGCAATCAAAAATTTCTTGTCTCAACAACTATATTCTTCTTCTTTTTCTTTGAAAAAAAAAAGATTAGGTGCAAAAAAAGGTCAGGAGGTGCATGAGTCTGGAAGATTGTAAAGCAGTCGAAGGAGCGGTGTTTCAGAAAGTGTCAACTGCTAAAAGCAACGCTAATATAGACAAAAAAGATTTGTATCTTAGAGGTTAAATTAACCGAGTAATCGCTTTCAAAAGTTTCAAACACACTTTTTTTTTGTCAATTTGATAACCCTTTTATATTTTTGTTTTTTTTTTTTTTTAAATTGATCACAGTTTTGAAAAACAGTGTCTACTGCTAATTTGATTCAGTAGTCTTTACAACTTTTTTAGCACTTTCAAATCGTTGATCTTCTTAAAACAGTCATAAAAACGGTAAAGCACTCGTTTTTATTTATTTATTTTTTTTTTACAAAATGATAGAACATCGGTGAAGAATCGCTTTTAAATTATAAAAATTTGAGCGTTGGCCTAAACAAAAACAACAACAACAAAAATGTTGAACTGAAAGAAAAAAAGTTTGATTCATTCATTCATTTAGGTGATCAAAAAGTA